GTCAGATAGAAACTGTATGGTTACAGGTTATAGTCACGGTCACCACTAGCTCTGCATGTCTGTGTGTTGCTTTGCATTCTCTGCAGATCTATGCACACTGTCTTGCCTGTGGGCACCTTCTCCTTTCTGAATTACGACAAGTCTAAATTTTCCATTTCTGATCTGTTTCTAAGATAGTGAGAGTCATATATTCTACAGTGAGAAACAGCAGATAGTAGAAAGATATTTAAAAAGTTTTCATGCAGCTTCAGTGAGGATATATCTGCCAGTTCATGGAGGTCAGGAGAGTTTGTTCTTACACGTCAGTCTGGAGTAAGATGTGTACTGTAATGGTTAGGCACAGCCTCTGACAAGACAAATCAATAGTGACTTCTGACATCCAGAAACAGGGTAATGAAGTTAATTGCAGGTGTTTTCTCAACAGTAGAAAAACTTTAATTTGAAAATATACTGGAGGAAATTCTGCTTGGTTTTGATCATGAATGCTACAAAACAGTCCCCTAATCTGATAACACCATTTGTTTTAGTCAGCTTAGACTACTCTCTGACTTTCTGGAAGTCTCTCATCTTTTCCCAGGCTTTCTTCTCTTTCATCTACCACCCACCAGTCTCTTCACTTGATCCCATTCTCCCAGCTGCACACTCTTAAGTTCACGTTTGATTTTGGTGCCTCCAGGCTGTGGGATAGATGGTAAGCGCAGCAGCAGCAGTGGAGAGCTGAGTCTCTTGACCTTTTCAGTAGCCCTGTGTTTGATGGGAAGAAGCAACAGGTGACAGAAGCAGTAGGGTCTCTTCATCACTACCTGGCTGGAAATTGAGAGCAGCTCCCTTTACTTGAACTGTGAATTCAACGTGGCAGCTTAAAATTTCTCTCCACTAGCAGCTGCCTTTCACTTGATTTGATTGGTTGAGTCTCAGTGTTATTTGTTTTCCTCCTAATTTCTATGTCACTGCGTGTAGAAGTCATACACCACAAGCAGGTATTTTGATGTTTACTCTTTCTTTCCACCCCAAAGTCACGGATAGAAGCAGCAGAAGAGGGAGGGGGGGAATGGCCCACTGAAAACTATTGGAAATGCTCTAGAGGATGAGGACTTCAGAAGTTTGACATACAGTGTGAACAGCAGGCATTTAGTACAAGGCTACTTCTGATTTAATTCTGCCCCGTGAACCTCAGATGGAGTAACTGCTTCAGTGCCTCAGCCCAAGTGAGGTGTGATAAAGGAAATCTCTCCCAAATACAGAATAGAGAACTGACTCAATATTCTAATGCATGCCATGCTGTTATGAAACACCTGTATGAAACAAACCTTAGAATGTGGCTGCATTACAGTAGGAAAGCTACTATAGGTTTTGATCTTGCTCTATTGCTGTTACTTTCCTGAGCACTTATTCAATATTCGTTCAGCAATTCATTTTCCTTTCCAATAGAAAATCCTGTTTGCCATAGCAATAGCAGCAGGGACTCTGCTTCTCAAGTACAAAGCTCCCTCCTGCAGATGCACATCAGGATGTAAGGTGAACTTCAGAAATGTGTTTTATGGCAGGAAGATTCTATGGTATAATAAGATGACAAATAAGGAATGCTGTGAGCTCATTAACTGAGACTCTTGTAATCCTCATCCATTATGCTGTTGTTTTCCTTTTCTTTTGTCTATATTCATGCACTTTTGTTTCATTTAAAAAAAAGAGAATTCAAGATTTTCTTGAGAAAGAAAAGGATACAGGTGTGTAGATATTTAAGGATATTTTTAGCCTGGTGTTTGAGGAAGATTTTAATATCACTGTTGAAAACAATTGAACTTCAGAAAGTGAATTCAGTCTGCTTCAGGATTGGGGTGATCCAGACTGAACAGCTGCCAGATGATTGCCTGGGATCCCTGCAGAATTTGCAACCAGCAATTTAGTCTCCTTCTCAAGGAGAGTGAAATTAGAAAGAGGCAGATGATGCACCATCATGTGACCAATCTCTTTTTGTTTCTTTCATGAAAATATTGCTGCTGTTGCAAAAGTCACAAAGGTTCCTGCTCCAAAACTTCATTGGTGCAAAGCATCTGCTGTCCATGCTGCTAGATGGTAGATCCCAAATGTGTTGTCCTGGCTTGGAGTTTGGGTGGCTGATGACCAGATATTGGAGTACTTTGCTTGCTCTGAGAAAACACGCCTTCCTCACCCGGGCGTCAACTGCTTGGAGCAGCTACACAGACTAATGACAGCTGCAATGCAAAAAACAAGATAATTCCTTTAAATAAACTTTCACATGAAAGAATGGGATACAGACAGTATGACCTTCTTAGACCAAAATTGTGCAAAAAAAAAATCCCCAAAAAAGAATCCTGAGTCTCAATGCCTTTATGAAAGTCTTGGCCAGCAAAACTCTGAAGCAAATCATAATCCAGTAATTGGTGGCTTTCTGCACCACCAGTTCTGTTTCTTGAAGCAGTAAATTCATCTTTGCATCTCTGTTTTAGAGAAAACCTCAGGCTCCTGCCTGCCTTTGCTAAAGCGTGAGTAACAGCAACAGAGGATGGCAATGCCTCAGCATCTCCCTGGGCAGCAAAGGCAGCAGACCTTATGCAAGGTCTTCTGGGATGCTCTGCTACAAAAAGGAAAAAAAAAAAAAAGTCATTATTTCTGCTTCATTTGTTATCAGCACATAAAGATAAGACAGTGTAAGGCAGTGTTCAGAAGGAGTTAGGCAACTTGCCAGTGTTAGCACGTTAGTTACCCTCAACACATTAAAGCAAAGGTCAGGGCAGGATTTACGTGGAGATGGAGAGGAAAGCGGAAGCAGGTAAGCCCTGCTTAGTGGAGAGCCTTCTTTGCTGCCCTGGGGGTTGGCAATGACACATTTCATTTTACAGATACTGGCAGCTATAAGAGTGAAGGCAGGATTCAGGATGAGCTGTCAGCCCATTCTTATTCTGGAATTGATGGAGAACAGTGGTCTAGAGTAGGGCTTGCTCTTAGATGTGTATGTTGGCTTGAGCAGGCCTTGTGCTAGGAGAACAGGTCTAGCTATATTCAATGTTACAGCTGTCTGAGACTGCAGAAATTAGGTTAAGAATTGCTTCAGAGTTTGTGATGCGTCAGATGAGGCTGGATAACAATTATGCAGTGTACAGGTTTGGGTTTGTTTTTTTTTTTGCAAAGAATAAGATGGAGCAGCATGCGAGGAAGTGTTTATGGGGGAGGGAAGTGAGTTCAGAATGCAGAGACAAAATGCAGACACAGCATTTCATTTGCTCAGCAAATCTTCCAAATGAATTTTAGACTGAAGGGTATAACTTCATCTTGTAGTCAAAACTATTTTGAAATCCACTCTTTTTCTCTCTGCTACTGCTGAGGATCCAACTGTGTAATGATGGCTGAGTTTCATCTGCATTATTTTGGGAGCCAACAGTACTCCACAGCTTATTACTGTAGAATGGCTACAGAAAGTTCTTTTCATTTGTATTCCAAACTCAGCTTCCCTGGCTGCAATACTTTGCTCTGGCATTAACACCTGTAAAATAAATAAATAAAAATAACCCAAACAACTTGTAGTTTTTGATTATCTGTTGATTTAATAATTTTCTCTGTGTGATAATGGTCCCTGGAAGAGGCACAAGGTGTTCTGGTTCTTTCTACTCAGCCATTGGGCTGTATTTTAAAGAAAATCTGGAAAACAGGGGAGATCCCCATGCCTCCATACTCCTGCAGGTCTCCAGGAAAACTGAAATACTAAGCGGATGTTGGCTCATGCTGGAGCTCCCTGTGTCGTTTTGTGCAACCTCCTTCAATCTCTAATGCTATTTCTCTTCCTGGTATCCCTCCCTCTCCTCCTCCCCACCTTTGGCGATATTTGTTCCTGAGAGGTGGCAGAACCTCAAAATGGTTAAGACCTTCTTGATGTGAGGTGTGGGAAATCGTGCCCATCTATGTTGCAGCTCTGTTGCTTTCCCTGTGCAAGCAAAATGCAGAGCACCAGTGACAGCTCAGGGCAGAGCTGCCTGTGTTCCCATGGTCCCCCTCCACGCTGCTGCACTTCTTGATGGGAAGAGTAATATTTTGTGACAAAGGTAGGGCTTTGTGACAGCAGCAGCAAAAATTGCTCTCCTTTCTGACTAGTCCTCCTGGAAAGATCTTTTAGGTCTAACTCTCCAGAGGCTAAAATCAGTGCAGGACTTAAGCAACATGCCTTGGCTATTTGGATAAAATAGCCTAGTTTTGATTAGGTAAGGAATCATAGAATAAAGGGATTTCTTTTTTTCAGAACTGGGCATAGAATAACAATGTGAAAAGCTGGATCAAATAGCTAAAGCCAATATCTTCCCCCTGAGGCTTTCCTTCAGTTCCTTTGTAGCACATCAACTAAAAAGAGACTTAAACTCCACTTTCTGAGGGTTGTGGATTGGGAGGTGAAAGCAGAAAAGAAAAAGGGAGTTCACATCTTCAGCCTCCTAGGAAATGCTGGTAACAACCTATCATCCTCAGAGCTGGGGCTGACGGTGTTCTTGCCTGTCCTTGTGCCTTCTGGTCTTTATCTAAATTATCTGCTGGCACATCCAAAAGGTGATGTTGGCATGTGACGCTGGGTGTGATGTGGTCTCTGCCATGCATTTCCCCTCTCCTAGTACTTGGGAAGGCAGCATGGGTAGAAGCAGGAGGAGAAGTGCTTTTTTGCTATGTTTTGCTCCTGATGTGTTAATCCTGTCCTGCTCACTGTGCTGCTCAGTGTGTGGGGCTGATGGGTGTATTTTTACAAACCTGCAGACATACGTATCCTTATTGTGCCAGCTTATTGCTTACGGTATTTTTGGTATCAAAAGTGGAGCACTAGTATAAAAAGCTGGTTTTAATATCTCTCTTATGCTAAGGAGCCATTACTGCTGAATGCCACAGAGATCTGTGCACCTATTCCCCCCAAACAGGGGGAAAGAACAGCCTCGAGTCTCCTGTTTGTGTGTTAGTTTTGCTGTACAGTACCCAAAATACATGGAAGAGAACAACACAAATATTCTTACAGGTGTGACAACAAGAGAATAGAAAAAGAAAGAAAGAAATCCCTCAAAGGGAAAGAGAAAAAGAAGGAAAAAGAAGGCAAAGAAGGCAAACCTGATATTCCGTCAGGTATGTTTGTGTTGGTTTTTTTTGCAAAGGTTTTGTGAAAATGCATTTTCTTAAAAGGAAAATTTGTTTTATTAACTTCTCTGTAGAAGTAATATTTACCCATGGGAAATGCAGCCTCCTCTAATTTTGGCTGCTTATCTCTGTTCATTTTGTGTGTGTGTGTATGTGTGTGAAATCATGCACCCACTGAGCTCACATAAAATTATATGGTACCTGAATGCTGCAGCAGGATGCATGATTGCTGATGTCCAGAATATCTGATGTTTATGACTTGGAGCCACATTTTCTTCAGTAAAAGAAATGAAATAAAAGGGTAGATTTTAAAAGGGTAAGTTTTCTTGCCTTTCTGCACACACACAAAACCTAAAGGTTCCCAAGGGAGAAGATACTTAAATGAGCAAATGTTAATTCCTAAAGATGTCACTGATCACCACACAAGTGGTGGATAGGTTGCTGCCAAGGGGATTTGGGTTTATACAGGCTTTCTCCTTACGGAACTTCTCCCTCACGTCGGTGTTTCCCAGTAATGGGGCATGGTGCAAGAAAAGTTCTCCGCCATCCCCTACAGACACTCCTGTAAAATAAATGTTCCCTGCTGTCCCAGTGGCGTTACAGGACATATCCCATGGGACAGGTATGTCCCTATGTTTCCTGAGTTGGTGTTTTTCTATTTCTCTCACAGGGTACTGAGCAAAAGGCACCAGGAACCACTGGTGCCCACCTCCCAGAATGCAGTTCCTTAGTTTGGGGACAGAACAGTCCCAGGTGAGATAGCAATCAGCCATACCACTACCACTACCAGCTGAGAAGCACAGAGCTGCCTTCATTACTACCCTCCTTGGCAGTGAATCTTTCCTCTTGTTTAAATGCCCCACACTTTTGCACAACTGTTTTTGCACAGGCATCTATTGCTCTGGTTCTGGTGAGATGCATGCTTAATGAGCTCTCCTGCAAAGAGCACAGGGAGCTCGGCAGCCTTCAGCAGAGGCCACAAAGCTTGTTATTATATCTGTAATTGTTTTGTTTTGTTTTGTTTTCATTTCTCTTTTACTGTGCAGAGAGAAGCGCACTGGTGTTCCGATCGGTAGTGACAGGACGATCCTGAGTGAACAGAAGATGAATCAGTGGGTGAGCAGTTCCTTTAAGAGTAAAAAGGTGTTAAATTAGTTGAGCCTTGTACTGCTTTGAAGCTCACAGGCATGACATTTTGGTGTTTTTATCACATCTTTGTGTGTTTGAGCTACTGCTTAGTGAGGTAGATGCTGTCAACTACGACATCCTAAAATGAAATGATGATATAATGCAACACGCAAAAACTGCGAGCTGGGTTTGATTTTTCCTTTTTAGTCACTTAGAATATTTTTTAATGGCATCCGAGCATTTAACCACAACACTGTCACTGCTGTTTAAAAACAAGCTCAGGTAGTTATTTAGATAACTCACAAAGATTGAAAAATGAAGACAACTCATATTTCCAAAGCTCTGAATTTGCAAGATAGCTTATATTTCATTCTAAAGATACTTTGCTTTAATGTACTTTATCTTCTCCATATTCTGATGGGGGAAAAAAAAAAAAAAAAAAGCAAATAATTTTGATACTCAGTGTTTCAGATGAGGTATTGTCTTTTCAGGTAGTGCAATTTCAGTTGTGTATCACCAAGTTTTATCATGCTGTCTAGCTTAGGAAAATCCAGTCTTGCTTAAATAATTTGTGTGCTACATCATTTTGAAGTATTTCGAAACAGTGCACTGTGAAGAGCTCATCTGGAGGTGTTTGGCTGCTGTGCTATAGGCTTCTGCTCTCTCACTGCTATGGGATGTGTGCACCTTCCAGCAGCACACCAAGCACCAGGACTAACATCTGCCACGTTTTGTTTGCTTTTGCATGCTCCCTCTGGGGGAAATGCATATGCAGTGGGTTACCTGGTTTGGGAATGGCTTCTCCCTAAGGGAGTGGTTTGCTTTTATTTATTTATTTATTTTTAACCCGATTTGATTTTTGATTTTCTTGTAAGAAAGATGCATTCTTCTGCACTTCAGTGAGAAAAGGTAAAATGGAAGAAATATGCAAAGTGGTACCTGAAGAGGTTTGGAAATGTGTATGGAGGGGGGGCATTCAGTTTGCCGGTAACTCCTTCAGATTAGTCTGAGCATGGCAGGGATTTCTGTGCCAGAGGAGCTGCAGTGCGAGAGCTCTTGGCTTGGATTCAGGATTGCTGCAGAGGTCTGTGGCTGCCCAAAGGGAGATTTTCTGGCTGACAGACTGCAGCAGCGCGATGCAGTAAAGCAGGATCTGAGCAGGATCGCTTTGCATGTGTCCTGCCTGAGAGTGGTGTGGGGAGCTGGGAAGGACGGGCTGTGTTACCGGTGAGAGATGGCAGGCGTGCTCTGGGGCTGCTGGTCTCTATGCAGGAAGGGGCTGACTTCAATTTTCTGGAAGCCTCAAACTTAAGCTCTGATGTGTAAACTCATCTCCTTCTGCTAACTCAGATGTCAGTAGCTGCGCGCTATCTGCATTGCTGACTATTGTGGTTGCTCACTGTTAACTTATCAAAGGAGATAAGAGGATGTAATTAGAAAAAGCTATCTGTTACCAATGCCACTCTTTCAAATGAGACTCATTTTGCACTGGAATTTAACAGCACCAAACAGACTGAGTGGAGGTGCAAACAGTTTAATTGTCCTTGAAAGTCAAATCCATTTGCTAGAGGACTGAGGATCTTTCATGGGGTCAGTGTTAAGCTACTGTGGCCATTGATCATTGTTCTGCACGGGGGTGATTGGCCCTCCACCACTGGTAAATGGATGCTTTCACCTCTAGCAGCAGTATCTTTGTACAGGAGTCATAGCTTTTTACCTTGAGGGTGACAGTCAGCCACTGGTGTTGCTGCCTTGTAAAATGGCACTGTGCACAAATTAACCATTCCTAAATCCAGTGTTGCCTTACACTGTAAGCTGGACATACATTGCAAGTGTCCTTCGTCCTTTTCAAGGTCTCGGATAGAGCTGCCAACGGTGCCTTCTGCCTTCCAACTTGGAGGCCAGTTAGGTATTTCCAGGGAAGCTCTACAATTTCCAGGTGAAGGACTCACACTGAGCTTGAGCTTATTGCCTTGAGCTGACTCCTGCTGCCCCTCCAGTGCTCAGGTGTGTGTCACAGAACTTCTTTGAATGGACTGTAAACAAGAAAGGAAATTGCCAGTTAACTAATCTCAGTCAAAACTTATCCTTGCTGAAATACAAACTGAGCCACCTGCAATGGGCACCAAATTAGCCATAAGAGTCCCCTGGAGCTTTAGATGCTTCTCATGTGCCCTTTTCTGCAGCGTTTCCACATGCCTGTTATTTCAGCTGCTATTCACTGCTGCAGAATCTGAGTCCTCAGGTCAGGGGAAATTTGTCATTACCATGAGGACAGGGACAGGCTTCAAAAGCTGTTGTTGATTTTCAAATTAAAAAATCCTTATTAGCAGGAAAAAAGAAGAAAAGTTGAAACTTGTAAACAGAAAGCAGTAAGAGGAGAATCACGTGTCTTTTGATCATGATTATGCTTTCAGAAGCATATTGCCATAATGAAGGGATAATTACTAGCTATGCTGGGTTCTGTTTTCACACATTTATGACGAATAGGCATGGGAGCGGGCAGGTTGTCACTGATTTTAGGCAAAGCTGTTCAGTAGGCACAAAGGAACTTAAACACCAATAGGAAACAGTTCAGCCTCCATAGCCTGCCTTTGTGTTTCCAGCAGGACTAAATTTACTGACCAGCAGCAAAAACAGAGTGTGGAGTTGCATCAGCAGTGTCCAGTCATTGTATGTGACAGTAAAATAGTAAGTGTTAAAATACCAGAAGCCTCAAACCAAGCAGCAGCAGTGTCAAAAAACTTTGTATTAACTTAGCTGCCTTCTTGAACATGTGCACAGAATATGAAGCCTTTCACCCAAATCTAAGGGGTCTTGCAGTTCTGTAGTTCTCCATCACAATGCCTCCAGACTTTGGCAGAGTAACTATCTTTTGAGGGACAGCACTGGACAGCAATGCTTCCGTAGATAAAAAACTTTCAGCTCTTGCTCTCACTACAGTCCTTCAATACTGAAAGGCATGTCCTCTCTACAACATTGCTCTCTCCAGCTTCATGAAAGGAGGTTGTGATGAGGTGGGTGTGGGTCTCTTCTCTCAGGTAACAAGTGATAGGATGATAGAGAATGGCCTCAAGTTGTGCTGGAGGGTGTGAGGAGGTCAGGTTGGATATTGGGAAGAACTTCTCAGAAGGAGTGATGAGGCATTGGAACAGGCTGCCCAGGGAGGTGGTGGAGTCACTCCCAGGATGTGAGAACCACAGAGATGTAGCACCAAGGGACATGGTTAGTGGGCAGTATTGGTGGTACTTGGACAGTTGGACTAGATGATCTTAGTGGTCTTTTTCAACCTTAAGGATTCCATGATGCTCATACTGCTGCTGAGCACATTTGAAGGCCACTGAAAATCAAGCTCACACCTCCCTGTAAAACCAGAACCTAATTTTCAGTCCTGTAATTAGCACTGGATAGCCTCCGTGTGTAACTGGAAATGCATGTTTTCCCCTGTGGGTTAAAATCACTGAGGCTGACTATTTTCAAGCATGTACATCACATGATCAGTCTTATAGATTCGTTCCAGATTGTTTTGCTTATTACCATTCCAGGTGGCTATGAGTTAATTAGCAAGCTATGTGTTTCAGGGTGCACTATAGCCATACATAAATAAATCATTATTGAATACAGAGTGCACAGATACTTGATGATGTGACAGAAATCCTTTTGGCTAACACAGGACAACTAAAATGTATGTATTATTTGTGACCATATGCAGCTTTTTCATTAATTGGCCTCGTCTGGGTTTGAGTTGTGGAGAGTAAGAGGTTTGATCTGTCATTGGTTCTTATTCATCATGGCCCAATTTTTATTTCCTTAGGTTCCAGGCCAGCCTCTAATAAACAAGATACAGTTTTCCCTCAGATGCTAAAAGGGACACAGGTTGGGTTTGGATATCTGGGAAAGATGGCATAAAGCCAGCAAGACCTTCTGTGGGTAAGGTCTCACCTACATCTTCCAGCAGTTCAGTGCCTCTCAAGTGTTTTTTTCCTGTTCCTCACTCTTGAAGGTCATCTTAGCACACAATTGACCCCTACCTGATGACACATGGAGGAAGGCAGCCAGAATGCTGGTGGCAGCCATCCCTGGCAACGTGTGATGGATGGAGATTTTGTGCCAAGAGTGAGCATGGACTATAGGCTCCCAACAACAGATCTGTGAGTCCCTTTGCTCTGGGATGCCTGTACCCTCCAGGGTTACATCCGTGCCTGAATCTACTGGCTTTTTCATTCCTCTCCTCTGTCCCTATAAGGCCAAGTCACGGGGCTGCATTCTTCCCTTGCTGAGCAGTGCTGGTGTCAGAGAAAGAGGAGGGTGAAGCAATTCAGTTCAGAAGGATCTGTGCAATGATTCTATAGGGACAGCGTCATGTCAACCTTGTGGACACCAACCTCATCGCATTCAAGAGCTCCCAGTGGGTGGGCAGAACCAAAGCACATTAGTAGCATTCATCCATCCTCTCCCAACATCCAGACCCCTGCGACCACAGAGCTATCTTTCTGAAGTACTACAGAGGGCTTTTTGGTGTTAAATTCTGTTTTCCTGACATATTTATTGAGACATTGCCCCTCTCAGCTTTTTGAAACATGGGCTGCGGTCATCAGCACAGTTCATAATTTCAGTGGTGCTTGTGAGCCTTCAGATTTAGTTTGTTGTTTCACCAGAGTCATTTACTTCAGCACATCTTTTTTTCTTTTTTCTTTTTTTTTTTTAATTCATTCCCTCCCACACACACATGCACAGACCTCACAGGGATTTTCATGCATTTAAATGAAAAAGCTGAACAGTTCCCTTTTCTTGTTCACATTATGCAGCATTGCCCTTCTCTGTTCTTATCCTATTTCAGAGCTGTCATGCAAACAAACTCAACTTAAAAAAAAAAATTAAAAATCATTACAGAGGTTTGCATCCTATCAACCTTCTATCTTGGCTTCTTCTCACTGTATGTGTAAGGAGAAATCCCTTCTCCTGATTGCCCTTCTCTTTCAGGTATA